AGATTATGGGACCAAAATGCACAAAACTTAATAACTAACATGATCTAGTGAAGCATTCATCAAGTTCATAATTTTATACCTTATGGAGGTTGCTTGAGAGGTGCAAATCCCAGATCTCCAATCCTTGAAGCTTTCCAAGTGCACTCCAATGATCTTCTTCCTTCAACTATGAACAAAAAACAATCAAATAGCTTAAAATCTCTCAAATGAATACTAGGGTTTGCAAGGGGTCGTTTGGGAGGATGGAGGCTGAATGTGGAAGGGATATACGAGGGTTAAGGTGTTTAAATAGGGTTCAAAACTTTGGATTTAGGGTTTGCATAACAGCCGAGTATGCCCTACGTACGCTTTGAGTATACCTTGCGTACTCAAAAGACCCGCGTCACTTTTAAAGACTTACGCCCCAAGTACGTAGGGCGTAAGGACCATTTTTGCAACAATTTGATACTTTGAGTCAAGAAAGGAAATTACCCGATTTGGCTGGGCGTTACAGTTTTTCAAAACCTTAACCTAAAATTTGGTAGCCTCACCCAAATTTCGAAACCACAAGTTTTCTTCGAAGGCACGACACGCCTCCTTACTGGCACGACGCGTCTTGTTGTCAGAGGTTTTTCTTGATATTGTTCAAGGTGTTCACGAACTAGATGCATGTGTCAGTGTTGCTAATCTGCTTCTTGGTGCGACCTGGAAGATGAGTTCTAGTTTCGGCTCTCTACATCCATACGGAAGGATAGGAATTACTCAAAGGACTATAATTCTATGTTTTCATTATTCCTTCTTGTCTACTTAGTTGCAGTTGATTGGCTAAACTTGGATTCGTCTATTGAGTTATAAGGTTAATTTTGTATTACTTCCGTTGTGTACCTTTGTGGCCTTTAGATCCCTTATAACCCAACATAAAGATGTTAGGGTTGTTAATAATTACTCCAATATCTTGTAAATTACTGATGACGACAACTTTAAATGGATGGTTATTACCGTTAAATATGAAGAACAAGATTGTTGCTAATATTTTAAGGCAAACTGGTTGTTGATGTATACATGTTACAACAATGTGTTGTTAATAGGTGGTCGCAAATATGTCGTTTCTTTAATTTGTTTTCCATATTTTTATTAACATTAGTAACAATTTTCCTCCACCAAAACTAACAACTCGTTATTATTATTAATATGGAGAATTTTGTATATATCATTGTTAAATATGAAAATATCTTATTTGTCAAATCTAATTTCTAAATATTATATTTATCCTTCATAAAGTTTCGAATTAACACATTTGCTCAAATCATTATATTTAACATTTTTATAATCATTTTAAATTATTATTTTTATCATTGACTAGTATATCATCTTTTAAATCCGAATTTAAATATCATGTATCCCCTTAATAAACTTTCAAAATAACATATTGACCAAGTTTTTAAGAAAGCATCAAGCTTCTTGATAATTAAGAATTCATCAAGATCCTTGAGGTGTGAAATGGGTATTGGGAGAATTTTGAGCAAAAGGTGGTAGGATGTATTGACGTTGGTGGCCGATCAGGTATTGATGTTGGCAGCCAATAAGTTATTGTTGTAATTACATACGACAATGATAATTGATTATGATGACTAATGAGAGGAGTAAGAGATGATCGAAGAAGATGGGTTGCATAGAGAAACCTTAACTGATAAATGTGGAATACTTAGAGAATAGATTTTCGATGAGAGAGAGAGAGAGAGAGAGAGAGAGAGAGTTTATAACAATGGTAAATATTGTACGATACAAATTAATTATTTTTTCTTCAAACCGTGTACTATATTAATTTTAGTTGGTTCACAAATTTAGCTACCAGTTCTATACGAAATGTAATTAGTACCAACTTAATTGGTTACTAAGAAGTACAATTCGTAATGCTATATATATACCAAAAAAGTTTGATATGAAGTTGAATACAAAACATAAAAAAACAAGAGTTGTTCGATACTTAAAAATCTACTATGTGTCCACATTGAGATAGTCTCCGTTCTTTTGTTTATCACACAATACTCTTTCAACCTAAACATTACATTTACACCAATGTTGGAACTATTCCATCCGAATTTAAACATGCCTTTACTTAATTGGTAAAGTAAAAAAAATTTAAAATATATATAAAAATGAGCAATGTGAAATCTTTAACGAAAACAATTCCGAAATCCGATAAACAATAAGATAATTTTACTAAAAAGTTTTGTTGAAACCGCTATTAAAAAAAATATTAGCTGCCTTTATTTTACTATAAAAAAACCAATGTTTTAAAAACCGGTTTTTTAATTGAACCGGTCGGGTGACGTTTTCCGGTTCAACCGGTTTGACCAGTTCAACCGGATGGTCAAACCGGTTCTATATTTTTATATGTTTTTAATTATCCTGCATACATTGATTACAAAACTTGTCATCTTTTTAGTATTATAAACGTAAATAGAATATAACATATAAAAACAATTATTCTAGAAGCCAAAATCAAACAAAGAAGCCCAAAACAAACACAAAAATTCAAGACTGTCCGGTTCATCCCGGTCCATTCCGGTTCAATTCAGCCGGTTGAACCGGTTTTTTACCAAAACCGGCCGGTTCAATCCGGTTAGGAAATCGTTATAAAACCGGTCCAAATCGAACCGTCCTCACCTCCGGTTCCCGGTTCGACCGGTTCAACCGGCCGCTTCGAACCGGTTTTTAAAACACTGCAAAAAACATGTGCATCTCTAACCATTTTTTAAAGAGTAAATTACACGGATAGTCCCTGTGGTTTAAGATAATTTGCACGCTTAGTTTCTAACTTATTTTTTTAACTTGTAAAGTCTTTATGATTACTTTTTCTTAGAAGTATAGTCTCTGACCTGCATTAAATGACTTTTTTACCCTTATTATTTATTTAAACTTTTCTTTTATCATTTATGTATATTTATATTATTATTATTTAATAAAAAAAATTAATATAACCTAAAAACCAATTACCCCACACATTTTATCTTGAAGACCTCTCACCTCCTTACCATCTCTCGCCGGAAAAAAGCCCAAAACCTCTTTTCCATCCCCCCTAAACCTCTATAACCTCCGGCCGACATCCAGATTTTCCTCATTGGAAAGGCTACCATTTCTCCTGACCTTTTCCGTGCAAAATCGAACCCTAGCCAACATCCAATTTTTATTTCCGAAATGTGACTGTAAGATCAGAGATCGTCAAAGAGATTTTCATTTCTTCTTTCCAAACATGCGACTATTGGACTCGGTCTCAGTGGAGGGATCAATCTTCTCCTTTTCCTCTGTATGTGATTTTTAGTGTTTTGTTCACTTGTTCATCCTCATAACATATTGATGATCAAGGTTGTTATTTTGTTTTTTACTCTACCGGTCAATGGGTGTTCCCATATTCTTTAATTTTATACCTAAACCCTTGTCCATGCAACACAGGACAACCGGGGATCAGCACATAAAGAACAAAGGAAGAGTACATTAGATCGAGAAGAGATAAAGAGATTTAAAAGAGATCAAGAGCTAGGGTTGTTTACTCATTTTCTGGGTTTGGACGTTTGGAGACGTTTAGATACGTTTCTTAGTCAATTTTGGATATTCCTGTGATTTTGTTATTCATTTTTGGAAGTCAATCAATTTTGCTTTTTATTTTCAGAAATCAATCAATTATGCATTTGTATTCTAATATGTTATTGAGTAAATTACATGAATGGTCCCTATGGTTCAGAGTAATTTGCACATTTGGACCCTAACTTATTTTTTTAACTCGGAAGGTCCCTATTGTTTGTTTTTGTTACGTGTTTGGTCCCTGTCTTACCTAAAAAGACTATTTTGCCCTTGATTTTTTTAATTTTTTTAAATAAACACACCCCAACCCCACCCTTTCTCCTTACCTTACCTACCCCACCATTTTTCTCTATTTAAGAGTCTTTTTAGGTAAGACAGGGACCAATCGCGTAACAAAAACAAACATTAAGGACCAAGAGCGTAACAAAAACAAACAGTAGGACCTTCCGAGTTAAAAAAATAAGTTAGGGACCAAGCGCAAATTACCCCAAACCATAGGGACCATTTGTGTAATTTACTCTATGTTATTTTGATTTTGAAGTTTGAGCTTCATATATGAGGTTTGTGTAGGTTTCGTTTCGAGTTTTGTACTGATGTGATTTTGAGGTTTGTATTAAGATGGTTGTCGTAGGAAAATTGGTGCCGATGATAGTTGTCGTAAGGAAACCAGGTTTGTACTGATGTCGTAGGAAAATTGGTGCCAGTAATTGTTGTATGTGATGATTTGGAATATGTCATTCTTGAATAACTTACGGTTAAAATGGGATAAAATAGTGGGTCCCAATGTAATATTTAGATAAAAGCTTCAAATAAATAATAGAAACTAATATATATATATATATATATATATATATATATATATATATATATATATATATTCAATAAGCGCAATATAGTCTTTTTATTAGACATATGGGACCAAACTCATAATAAAAATGTATCAAGAGAACTATCCAAAATAAAAAAAAATAAGTTAATGACCAAACACATAAATTAGCCCAAACCATAATACCATCCATTTAATTTACTTTTTTTTAAATAACATGTTAATTATGGCACAAGAAAGAATTGGAAACGTCAGAGTTTCCTAATAATTTTTAGGGGTTTGTGTTTCGGTTTAATGGCGGGCAACTCTTTTGAACTATTTTTAAAATCCTATTTAATTCAAAAGGGAAGCATCAAACCCCATTCCATTCAAAAAGACTAAAAGCACTTTAATAATTCAACACTAAATTATCATTCTCTCCAAGACAACTTTTACAAAAGAGACATGTAGTTAAAGGTCCTACAGTAAAGCTGCATGCGATAGAAGAGAAAACCAAGATAATCTCCCTTTTTCTTCACTATAAATGGCACCACATCCATTGCCCTATTATGTTCAGCCATATCAGCTAGACAACTACAGACTCATCTCATTAACATAACGAAAATCTCTAATGGATTCTCTCAGGATACATGCTTACAAGAGTCATGCTATCAAGAAGCACAAGAGGCAGAAGTTTGTGGGTACTGTTCTACTATACTCCTTGTCAACATTAGCTTGTACCTTATTCTGTTCTAGTCCCTTATGGTACCCTCCCTTTTGCGCTACTTTCAACGTCCTTTTCTTTTTCTCCCTCCCAAATATATGTTCCTTCTTCTTCACTAGCAAGGTTTTGTTCGTTGTGGGCAACCTCATTGTCATCTTTCTCGTGGGACAATCCAAGTTTTTTGCTACCAACTCTAAGGCTTCGAATGCTAGCTATAGTGATATTTGTTATGATAAGTACAAATGCAAAACCTCCAAACCTCGAGCTTTATCTCCACCACAGGCTAAAAAAGGGAGGGGATTCCCTAAATGCTTGTCCGAATCACTCAGTGAGGAGAAATGGTCGGAAACAAAACACAATGAGGATATAGCAAGGTGTAGTAGAGGGGACGTAAGGATAGTTCATGAGAAACAAAAACAAGAGGACCTAGAGAATGATCAAGAAGTAATTCTGCCTGCAGAAGAGTTGAACAAATTGGCTGATGATTTTATTGCTAGAATCAACAGACAAAGAAGACTCGAAGCTGAAGTTTATATGAGTTAAAGTTATCACAGGGTGAGGAACAATATTAATAGCATATGGGGAGGAATGTAGTGATGCAGCTAGTGACAACCCGTCCAACATTGGTCAAACAGTATGAATTCTGAAGCCTTTGTAAGTCCATGGTCGTTGCTTAATAATTTTGATCATGATTTTAGTTGATCTTAGAGTTTATTTCATCAGTATCTGTCATTTCAGATTCGAAGTATAAGCTAGTGTTGCTGTATTTAGATAGCTTGTACGGTATAGATTTATTTACTAAATAATTCTGAAACACCTCCAATGTATCGATTATGTTGTAAGTTGTTTATATTCAAGGGAAAGAAAGGAATAAAGTTTTACTGTTCTACATGAAGACCACTTTTGATTTACTTTTTGATGCCGAATGAAAGTAAAAGCACACATTCTTTAGACATGTGATGAGAAGAAATTTGTAATGGTTATGCCTTCAAATTTGGAAGGAAATGTGAGTTGGTTATATTTTTAGCGGGTATATATAGCCAAAAATTAAAGATTAGAAAACGAAGAAAAATAAGTGATACCAAATAATTGCTTATAAATTAAAGGTTAGACTAAATTTCCATACACTTCTCACGATACAAAAAAGTGTCTCCTCATTTTTACCACAAATTTATGGTTTCTTGCCACAAGGAAATAGGAATGGTAACCATGGTATTATATATTTAATTTTTTTCAACTATTTAAACAAAAAACTTCAATTTCATTAATCTACATTAAAAACACATAACATGAAATTAAAAATAATAATAATAAAAAATATAACATGAAATACAAAAAAAAATACCTAAAAACTCTAAAAAAACACACAACATGCACTTAAAACAAACAAAAAATCTAAAGGTTATATTTTTTTTTCCTAATTTCGGCTTTGATCGCCAAAACCAAGTCACCCTCCTCTCTGATTTAGTTACTTGTGACTTGTATTACTATTCTCATGTCACTATCTTTTTGTTTCATATGTTCTTAATTTTTCGGAAACATATTTTAAAAATTTGTCAATTCTTGCATGTAGACTCTTCATCTCATCTCCATCACTTTCAAGTCATCCGAATCTATATATTTGCTTTTATCTTTGCGATTCGCTTTGTCCCTTCCCATTGATCAGGAAGGTGATGTAAGTTGAACGATATCATCATCATTGAGATCGATTCCAACACGAACAACAAATGTAGTGTACTCAGATTCAGATGTTTTGAACCACCATCGATATGTTCTTCGGATGTTTTGGTCGATTTCCATTTTCGTTGTCTTTCAAGAAAATCTAAAACTCAATAAATTTGACAACCTTCTTGTTTTCCTTTTGGTAGACTTTTAGCTCTTTTTTCAAATCACATCATCACTTTCTCCACTTTGCCAATAACGATGCATGTTGTTATGAAAATCATTAAACAACACAACTTCCTTGTTTGTCTTTCCATATTTAGAGCACATTTGGTATTTTGTATGGTAATCTCCTAGCTTCATTTCTTTGTTGAAATGTTTTAGAAATCGTCTCTAAAAACGATCATGTTTTTGGTCTTGCCCACTTTTGGATCCTCCGATACATCGACCCATGTAAATGTCGATGCTATCACTTCTACCGGTTCCCATGGTTTACTCGGGGACTTCACTTTTCTCTTATTAGGTGTTTCGGTGGGTTGAGTTCCTCTATCGAATTCGGGTTTGATGTCGGGTCCACTTGAGTTTCAGAAAAAAAAAAAAAAAAAACCAAGTTGAGTTTGAGATACAAAATTGAAGAGATTAAATTCGGTGTTGGATTGAAGTTGTGGTTGTGGTTGTTGATGTTGGTGTAGGTATGGTTTTGTATATGGTTATGGATAATATGGTAGCATACCGCTATATCGTTAATTAAACGGTTGACAAATAGATTGGATGATCAAATTAAGGGGTTAGGGTGTTTCTTGCGGGTGATTTTTTTTTTGTTGTTTGGGTTGTTTGAAGAAGTCATATTTTTTGAATTGTAGAAATGCAGAAATAGAGTTATAGAGTGATAGAAGAAGTGTATTGAAGTGTGGTAAAATTGTATATTGAAAGTTTTATTTATAGGTAAAAAATTAAAAAAATATCTATAACAAATGGAATAAAAGAGAAGAAAGTGTAGAAAGAATAAAGAGAGACAATGTCATTGGGTTACCTAGTTCGGCCTAGGTCATACACCCGACATGATGTTTATCACGACTAAGCCCGTGTGCGAAACCGCAGACACTCTCTATGGCCTTAGAACGCTCGGAGTGGGCAACGCCCTTTGGCATTAAGCTGAGTTGGCCATCAAAAAACGCCAGTATAACGGCTGGCACACCGCCCCCTAAGTCGTTATACCGCGTTACGTTACGAGGCGTTGCGGTGATAACGGGTGCAAACGGGAATTTTTCGATCGAAAATTAATTTGCAACGGCCATATTTTTTTGATTTTGAACCGTTGTAAAACGGTCAAAAACATAAAAAAAATTATTTAAATCTTTTTACCTCTTTTACACCTATATATATACATATACATCTACCTTTATTTTTTATTTACAATTTTATATCAAACCATTTTAATTTCAAATCTTCACAAAAAAATCTATTTTCCTTACTATGGATTAAAACCCCAACACTCCTCCTCCAAACAAAAATACACCTCCGCCTATCGGTTTTGCACAATACGAAATGTACGCGAACATCCTCAACACTCAATGCTACTTTTTCAATCCCGCCTCACCCCCACCACAATTCACTACAACCCTTCCACAAAACCTTTTCAACTCATTTGCTACAATGCAACAAAATACCACAACCACCACCCACCCAACAAACGGTACCCGAGACGCAGACGGGGGGGGGGGGGAGCAATCGCAAGACGAACCTCCAATATGGTGGACCGCGGAGGAGGAATACGCGTTGGTGGTAGCTTGGTGCGGGACATCAAAAAATTCAACGCAAGGAAACGATATGCGAAAAGTTGCTTTTTGGGAAGCCGTGATAGGGAAATTTCGTACCATTTTGAATAAAGATGAAAACTAACGCAATCACGACATCTTGAGTAGCAAATGGACTCAAATAAGCAAGAAGTGCACCAAGTTCAATTCCGTCTACAACAAACTTTCCTCGCATAAGCAAAGTGGTGTGACCGATTTTGACGTTTATAGAGCGGCGATGGAGCAATATCATGTCGAGACCGGTCATGTTTTTTAGCACGAAAAAATTTGGGAGATTGTCAAAGAAGACCTAAAGTGGAATAAAACGGACACATTTACAGAACACCAATCGAAGAGGTCGCGCAGCTCGGGTTCGGTCGATGTTTCGGACGCACGCACGAACATCGACATCAATGCGGACACGGATGAGATATTGGACGACTTGAACGACCTTGAAGAGATCTCCCCGCCTCGACGACCGATAGGTCGCGACAAAGCGAGACGTGCTCAACGACACGCAGATGAAGCCGAAAGTAGACGTCAAGAACAAGCCGAAATGAAACAAAAATTTGACGATCACAATGAAATCGCGCGTAAAAGATATGAGTTGCAACGAGATCATTTTGAGTTCCTTCATCGTGAAGCCTTGGAAGATCGCATTGCGAAAGATTTGGCAATTCTTCAAACTAGCGAGGAGAATTTGTCACCGAGACGGTTGGAGATACTCTGAAAAATGAAGGCGAAGATCGAGCAAAAATATTTAGACGAAGATTAGTGTTTTTTTTCGTTGTAATGTTTTTTTTTGGTCAATGTGTTTTTTTTTCGGTCAATGTTTTTTTTTTTGTAATGTCGTTGTTTTTTTTTTCGTTATAATGTAGTTTTTAATTAGTATTTATTTTAATTATGTGCTATTTAATTTATATGTTTTTTAAAAATTATTATGACAAATTAAAAAAATAAAACAAAATAGAAAAATGGAAATTAAAAACATCAAAAAAAAATTAAATAGAAAATGATAGGTGTTATTACATTGTTCATTTCCACATTGGGTGTTATAACACCAAAAGTATGAACCAAAAGTATGAGTAGGATAATGAGATGGACAATTTGGATGTAATAACACGTTATCCACACCCCAGAGCCTTGTATACTTCCATTTATCCATAACTTTTAGCTTTGGCTTATATGGATACCAAGTAATTCGCACATGATAATACTTTTGAGTGTATTTAAATCTCGCATGCTAGAAGGCCGTGTTTTGTTTATTGCATCTAAACCACTAAATATGTATTAACAATAGAAATAATAATTAAAATATTATGATAACAATAACAAATGGAAAAGAGAAAAAAGTAGCAAGTGGGATGATGGGTACAAATAAAGTACGGAATCCTATACTCTAGCTTTACCCTCTTTGTCAACATCGATCTTCTAATGATTTTTATACATTCGCTTTTCGCTCTTTCATATATTTCTAACGGAAAATAACTTTATAATAAATTTATAAGATAATCGATTATTACTTTTATACATATTTAATCAGTTGATTTATATGATACAAATAATTAATTATTTATTTTATAGATATTTAATCATTTTTATACATTTCATCACTAAATTTATATTTATTGTTCAGTAAATACCGCTATTACAAATCTAACCGATTAAACTCTTCAAAAAAAAAATCATCAAATTCATATCTGTTATTAAAAAAAAACTATTAAACTTACATTTTCATACACGATTGATGTGCACTTTATATATTTATCTAGATTTAAATTTATAAACCTAATTACTTAGCTAAATTATACACTTATAGACAGTGTATCTAGTTAGATTATAGAATAGATTGGGTAAGTCGGGTATCGATCACAGGTAATGACATTTAATTAATAAAATAACTACTAAAAGTTAAACTAAGAAAAAAACAACTAAAAGTGGGGGTTTTATTTGATTTTACAAGTTTAGAAAAACTTAAACTAAAATATCTAATTAATGACTAAAAAGACGATTTAAAATCAATAATAAAAAATACTCTCGTTTAACTTCGACTTCCACCTTTTTCATATGGTTAATTTCAAGACA